ATAAGTTTATTATTTTTAAAATTATTTTTTTAAATTTAATTATAAACTATAATAAATTTTATATAAATTTAGAAAAAATTAAGATTATTATTAAATAATCTTTTTAATATATATTATAAATATATAAATCTTTTTAGACTTTTATAATTTTTATTATTATTTTATTTATAATTTTTTAAAATTTATTATTTTACTTATATAATTAATTTAAAAAAATATTTTCTTATCTGAATCTTTATATACTAGAATATATTAAATTATTTATAAAATAGTTTTATTAATATTTCTATATTTTAGCTGTTTAATTATATTTATAAAATAATATTAGAAATTAATATTTTTAATTATATTTTAACCAGAGTTTTATTTTAGTATAATAAAAATAAACTATTATATTTTATTTTTATTTTAATATTATATATTATTCTAAATATTATAAAATAAAATCTAATAATTTAACTAGAAGATCAGAAACTTTTTTAAAAAATAAAAATAAATATTTATTATATTAAAATTAGATTATATTAAAATAAAAAAATCTAAAATCTATATATATATTTATCTAACATATAGAAAATCTAAAATCTAAGATTATTTAGATAAATCTTATATTAGATAAATAGAAATTATTTTTAGATTTTAATTAATTATTTAAATAAAACAAATTTAGAAAAACCTTTTTTAAAAATATTTAATTTTAATAATCTGATTCTAGATTAATATAACTTTTAAAAATAAATAAGATTTATAATTATTACTAAAAATCTAAATTATTTTATAAATTATATATAAAAAAAATATTAAATATAAAAAATATTAAAAATACTAGTAATTAATAAAAATTATTATTTAAATATTTTTTAATCTTATATAAAAATAAATTTATTATTTTATAAAAATTATTTCTAAATCTTTAATTATAATAAATTAAAAATTGATTTAATTTATTTAATTTATATATAATAGAACGGGCTGGTCTACAGCAGTCAGAGTTGCTGGTATAATATATTGATGAGATGGTTGATAGAGTTATGAGGTTATTAATAAAGAGTTTTAATCTATCTGCTTAATATATAGTAGCAAGTCTTACTAATCTACTACTAATTTTTAAAAAATTAGTCTATTTTATAAATATAAGTTATTTTTATTTATTCTATTATAAATTAATAATATTTTATAATTAATTTTTTATCCAGTTAATAGATAATTTATTTTAATAAATAATTTTCATTATATTCTAATCTTTTTTTTTAATTATTTAAAAAAAATATTTTTTTCTAAAAATAATTCTAAGTCTAGGATAATTTATAAATAAATTAATTTTAATATACTTTTTTATTATTTTTTTTATTATTAAAAAAACATAATTATTTTAGAATTATATTTATTAATTTAAAAAAGTTAATAATTTAAAATAAAAAATTATTTATTTATAAAAAAATTAATTCTCTAATAAATTATTAATAAGATTTTTTTAATTATTTTTTTAATTATTTTTAAAATAAGATAAAAATAAATTTAAATTTAATAATATTTTTTATTTTATTCTATATTTTAATCTGTAAAAATATTAAAAATAAATAATTAATTTAAAATATCTATATTAAAATATTTCTAAAAAATATACTATAGAAAAATAAAAAATAATTATTATTATTATATATATAAACTAATTTTATAGATAAAGATAATATTAAAATATTAATAAAATAATTCTAGACAAAAAATAAAATCTTAAGATTTTATAATTTAAATTTATTATAATATTTTATATATAATAATATTAATTATCTTATAAATTAATTTTTTTATTTAAAATAAAGATTATATATTATTTTTATATTTATATTTATATTTAAAATAATTTTAAAATTTTTATAGATTTTAATAGTTATATTAAAATATATTATTTTTAATATATACTTATTATAATTTTTAAAATTAAAATTATTAATTAAATTTTTATTTTTATTTATAAAATATTATCTATATTTTTAAATATTATTATATAAAAATTAATAAAGATTTTAAATTTTAAAATAGTTTTATTTTATTATTAATAATTATTTTTTAAAATTTATATATTAATTTATTATTATAGAATTATTAATAATGATTTAATATATTTTTAATTTTATTTTTTTCAGCTGTTTAATTTATTAAAATAATTCATAATTATATTAGAATATACATTATTATAAATTTTCTAAAAATATTTAATTTTTTATAATTGTCAACTATATAGCCAGCTCGCTGCCTCAGGTTCACCAATTTACTGCCTCAGGTTAACCAGTTCACGAAGTGAATTCCCGAGTTCCGGATCCCTCAGCAGGGAAAACAGCCTGGAATAATCTATTTCTATTCATCCTATGGTTCCTGTTCAATATAAATTTATTAACTTTGTTATTTTCATGTGTTCTTCATGTGTTTTTTATATGATTGCGGAAAATCTTGAAGAATTAATATAGCTATTCAGCTATAAATAAAAGATTAATTCCTATTATTTTTTAATCAGTTAAGTAAGCAGTTTCAGTTTAACTTATTCATTTAAATTATCAGTTCTTATTCAAGAAATTGATTTTATTTATCTTTTATTTTTCTTTTATTTTTACTTTATTTCTTACTTAAAATTTGTATAGAATCCTATATAAAGTTTAAATAAAAAGTAAGGTCTTATTAAGATAAAAGTAAAGGTATCCAGAATTTATTCTAGGTATTGAGAATTTGTCTTAGTCATTGAGAATTCGCCTGAGCCTGGAAAAATTCTTCTTAATAATAATTCTCTTTATATAGATTAATAAATTATATTATTAATTTTAAATCTAATAAATCATTTTTTTTTTTTTTTTTAAAATTTAAACTATAATTTTATAAAATTTTTTATTTTAAAAACTAATATATTTATAAAATATTTTTAAATTAAAATTAATTTAATTTAAATTTCTGCAGATTTTCTTAAAAATTTATTTATAAAATTAGATTTTTTTATTTAATATTTAATAATAAAATTAAATAAAATAAAAAATATAAATTACTTAATTTATTTTTTATTAAATTTAATTTAATATATAAATAATTATAAATTTAAATAATTAGAAAAAAATTTAATTATATATAAAATTTTTTTAAAATATTAATATTATTATTTAAAAAAATAAATAATAATAATAAATTTTTAATTTAAATATTATAATTTAATTTAATACTAGAAAACTTATAAAATTAAAAAATAATTAAAAAAAATAGAATTTTATTTATATTTTTTCTAAAATATTAATTTTAAAATAGTAAAATTTTATAAAATTAAAATAAATTAATACAAATATTTATTGAAAAATAATAATAAATTAATAAAATAATTAAAAAATTTAATTTAAAATTTTTCTAAACTTTTATAAATATATTAGATATAAAAATCTTAATTTAATAAAAAAATATTAATTTATTTAAATAATATAATAATATATATTTTTAAAATAAAAAATATATTCTAGAATAAATATAATTTTATAAAAATTATATTTAAATTAAAAATTTTTTTAAATAATTAAATATTTTAATAAACTAGACAGCTGAAAAAAATAAAATTAAAAATATATTAATCTATTATTAATAATTTTATAATAATAAATTAATATATAAATTTTAAAAAATAATTATTAATAATAAAATTTTAAAACTGATTTAATAATATTTTTTTATATAATAAAAAAAATATTATTTTAATATATTATTATAAATATAAAATTTTTATAAATTTTAACTATATAATATATTATTAGTAAATATATTTTAATTATATTATAATATCAGATTATAATATAATAATATTTTGAATAAAATTAAAAATTTATTTAATAAATTAAAATTATAAGATTTTAAGATTCTATTTTTTTTATTTATATATTAATATTATTTTTATTTATAAGATTAATTTATATATGTAATAATCATAATTATTTTTTATTTTTTTATAATATATTTTTTAAAAATATTTTAAATTAGTAATCTATTTTTAATATTTTTGAAAATTAAAATATAAAATAAAATAAAAGATATTATTAAATTTAAATTTATTTTTATCTTATTCTAAAAATAATTTATTCAAAAAATTAGTTTTTTTACAAATAAATAATTTTTTATTTTAAATTATTAGTTTTTTTAAATTAATAGATATAATTTTAAAATAATTATATTTTTTTAATAATAAAAATAATAATAAAATTTATTTATTAAAATAAATTATTTATTAACTACATAAGAAATTAATTATAAAATATTACTAATTTATAATAAAATAAATAAAGATAATCTATATCTATAGAATAAACTAATTTTTAAATAATTAGTAGTAGATTAGTAAAACTTACTACTATATACTAAGCGGAGTACTCAGGACCCTCTATTAATAACCTTACAACTCTATTAACCATCTCATCAATACATCATCCCAACGCCTCTGACTGCTGTAGACCAGCCCGTTCTATCACACTGGCTCAAATTGCAGAGTTCTAAAGACGTCTGAAATTATTAGTCTTGTTATGAACAGAAGAATCACTAACTGTGAAAGATATATTCAGAAGCAGTTTTATGCAAGATGCTCCCTAAGAAGTACTGATAAATCTGCAGGACTTTTTTGCAGACTACCTTTTTACTGTTATATTAAGCTTCAAATGCCTACTTGTGATGTTACTCACAGATAGTTGTGTATGGTTGTGTAGTGTAGTAGCACTCTAGATTTTGATTACTGAAATACTATATCAAATTCCAGTAACCCCGGTTCGGAACCCGGGCACATCATTTTTGGGTATTACGACCTTTTTGGGACTTTTTTTGGAAATGTTTTTATCTATCTATCAGATGGACGGAAAGGCTATATTATATGGCTCCGGCCTTGAGAAATTTTTGAAAAAACTTGCCAGTGGATGCAATGTGGTTGTTTAGGTGGACATAGTCAGCAGGTAATAATGGTACATATTTGCAAATATTTCCTCAACTATGGTTGTGTAGTGTAGTGGTTATCACTCTGGATTTTGATTATACAAGATGTTTGGATTTCCAGTAACCCCGGTTCGAACCCGGGCACGACCTTTCGTTTTTTTAAATTTCTGTTTTCATCATCGGTTCTGGTGCTACCAAGCTATGGAACATGAATCTATGATTTCCCACTCACATAATTAATTAGTGTTGCGTCGGTAGACAGGGGGCGGGCGGGTCTTGGGTACGTACATCCATGCCAGATTGTTCGATCGATTCGAAGTACTGAGCTGGTTTGACCTTAAGCTCTAGCCAGGGTTGCATCATGCTCGCAAACAATCACCACCACACATGGGCGCAGCTGTAGTGTCGAAAGCGTCTAGGTGTGATTTATGCCACCTTCAAAGCCGTTTTCCGCAGCGAGGGCCTTATGAGCGAGCACCTGTAGCTACGATGATAACTTCGTAGGCATCCATGGCAGTCTGAATCCCTACAGTCCATTGACCTTTTGGGGCACCTGATTGATCTACATCATTTTCTCGTCATTTGTAAAGAACCTCGAATTAGCCAATATTGTGTCATATGCCAATGTTTTTGACAAGGGTGTGACTGCTCAAGGGAACCTGCCTCGTGGCAATATGCTTATCTGGCTGGCCCCACTCCACCTAGGGATAGCTCGATGCCACCCTAATGAGAAATTCGTGCTTCGAACGACGTACATTTGGCCGCAAGGTCGGGAGAATTTCTGACCAGAACGTGCATGTTCTGGGGTGGAATATCGACATGGGGAAAGAAGTGCTGTACACAAAGCTATGATGATATAACTCGGGGTGATCGCGAGGCAACCCAACAAACTCGTCCTGTCTTAATCAGTATGCCACATACCTATCCACAGGTCCTCCGTAGAAGGATTTTCCGCATACCATATTTAACGTCACCACATTTTGAATGAGATTCCCTGTTTCTGTGCCGAGGTATGATAGACCTGTGTCCTGTAGATAATTTCAAGACTGCTACCAGTCGGGAGACCAAATATAGAGGGCAGATCTTGGCTGGGTTTAAACGACTTGATAAGTCCTGGCAGGAAAATAAAGTCATTACTGTAAGTGGCCACATTCGGCAGAGTTCACATAAACACTAGCATATCGGAGTATAGAAGAGTACAGTTTCATTGGGATGATTGGGAACATACTGATAATATAGTCAGCAATGTATTCGGAAGCCTCGAGGCTAGTTTCCCGGATGATAACTCTCTTAGAGAAGGCTTAAGGTCAGAAGAGTCTTGTGATACCAAGAGAGAACGGTCGGGAGGTGCGTTGTACATGGTGAGGTGAGGAAATTTGGAGGGGAACGAGATTACTTGTACGTCACCGATAAGGGCCAGAATAGATGGTCGATGGGACTCGGGAATGATAACCTAGCAACCCGACGGGATTATGAGATATATGAAAGGAAACCGAGAGCAAATGGTGAGGATCGGGTGTTCAAATTTGAGGTTAGGGGGGTTGCAAGGGCAGGAGGAAGTTGAGTTAATAACGATTATTAGATCAGCCTACGCCATCCCAACCATGGCTCAGTTACGGTTGTCTGTCAGTACAGTCTGGATCCATCGGCCAAGTGGAGGGTGACAGGATACTTGCTAACAGATATCTCCACCACTATCAGTCGCTTTCTCAAGCACTATTGCCCTTAGGAAGGGTATTTAGAGCCTGTGGTATTTCTTTGTCTACTCAGAACTACTAAAGGTACCTAGATGCTCACTGAGCACCTGCCGAACTGATAACGCACAATCTAGTATCTTACCTTGCGGAATTCCCTCATGCATTTAGGTAAAGGCCCTAGGTTAATGGTTATCAAAATGGATGCCAAGGCTGCTAGTACAAAGTGCTGCACAGGTAGAAGTACTAGATTGTGGTCCTACTGTATGACTGACTGGGTGAGGAAGATTCGAACTGGGCTTTGGGGGGGTTGTTATGAATGATCTCATCAACGAAAGTGAACGTGACGTTGCAAAAAGAGGTGGCATAGGGCGAATCGCTTAGAAAGATGCGTGGTGATGGAAGTTTGCCAAAGGGATCGATTTCCGAATCTCAATGTAGATGACTAGCGTAGGGTAGTAGATAGTAGGTACTTACCTAACTACCTATCTAGGTACTATCCATTATAGATATGTCCGGACGGACCTGCGGGTAGGGTGCGAGAGGCGCCTGAAGCAGTGTCCCATTGCAGGTTCCGTTCCATTCGATTGCTTCACCTACGTAAAGCCTGTGACAGGCGCTGCCGTTGCATTCAGCCAGCGGTCCATGCATCTCCCCACCATCATTCTTACCATACTCACTGGGTCAGTACCGTACCTACATACCTAGGTACCTAGGTAGGTACTGCCCCTGGCCACTTTTTTTTTTACAAAAATGGAGACCCACCCTCTGTAGCACTGGGGTAGTGTGTCTGTCATATATATCTAAACTGAATACAGATATATTTAAACTATATGTAGATAGTAAATTACATCTCTATAAAATAACTAATCAGTTAAATACTGTATTTTTAACTACTACTGCCGCGCTTATATAGCGGCCAGTAGCGTGTTTGTAAAAAAGCTGGCCAGAGGCAGTACTCCGTATCTAGGTAGGTACCTATCTAGGTAGCTAGGTGCTACCTTACCCTGAGTTAGATGGAAAGATCGACTCCATACGGGTTAGATATTGCTGTAACCTTACCTATTGTCAGTATTGTATCCGAATTCAGGCCTCGGTCCTGCTTAGGTATTCTTGGTACGGTATGGCTGGTATCAGTGTGGTTACACGTGATCTGGGGAATATTATTCCTCCGGCAGGCTTGAATCTCCTCCTCACGCCAAGCCGCCTGTCGGGCTCAGCATGTCGACAAGATAGCCATTCTGCTAGGATCATCAGCTTTTTCTGCCCCCTGAACAATTGTGAGTAGTCTTAAGGAGTAGATGGGGGATTGGAACTGTTTCCCTTGGGACTCTGGCCGGTCTTCGCTCTACTTTACCCGACCCTTCTTACTGCTCAAAGACTGCAGGTGACAGACAGGCCCTAAGCTGTGTGATTACTTATGCTACTGTCGGTTCGCCCTAGCAAGCTAACCAGGGTAGCTTGGTAGTAGTAGGTATCAACTGCCGGTGCCGGCGCTCACCCGCCCGCTTCCTTTACGTTTGCAACGATCATCTACCTTTTTATCTCGATCTCTTCCTGACCGGGACTCCTCGCCTCCGACCGATCAGTGTTGTGTTCCAGGCCCCAATCACCCCAATCACCATCCCAATAACACCCCTACCCACCTAGGTCGTGGACTCCATTGCCCCAGGCTCTGCTTGCAGTGGCATTCCTTCCACGCCGGGCCCTCATGGCCCCCAAGGAGGACATGCTGCCGCCTGGCTGGGAGGAGCTAAACAGGTAGGTAAAATGGCAGCCTTGGCGTACTTTGCCTTGCGTTTTTTCTCTCCTTTCTGTTCGTCTCTTGTAACCTCAGCCTGTACCATGAGTTCTTCGAGGACCCCTTTTGCCTATTACTCTTTCCGGCATGTGTCTCCTATTACCTATGTATCTACCTACATAGTAGTTTGGCACCTTAGTTTCCGCACCGGATCTTACCCCCCCCCCCTCCTTGTTGATTTGACCATCGATCATGACTGACGGTTAGGCTCCCATGTCGTTTCGGACAGGCAGATGGGGCAGCTTTTTATGATGGGCTTTGATGGAACGTCTGTCAGCCCTCAGATTCGCTCGCTTATCGAGAACTACCATTTGGGTTCGGTTCTACTATCTGCCAAGAATTTGAAATGTATCATCACACCTTTGCTCTGTATTCCAATAATCAAGGCTGTCTTGCAGCCATGCCACATTTCGGCCTTTTTATCAAGATACTAATCCACGTTTAGCCGCGGAAGATGCGACGAGATTGGTCTTTGAGCTCCAAACCATTGCCCGGGATGCTGGCCATCCGGTACCTTTGCTCATCGCCCTAGACCAAGAAAATGGAGGCGTGAACAGCCTATATGATGAGATTTACATTCGACAATACCCTAGCGCTATGGGAATTGCTGCAACCGGATCAAAAGCTCTAGCTCATGAAGTCGCAATGGCTACTGCCCAAGAGCTTAAGGCCGTCGGAGTCAATTGGATCCTTGGCCCTGTTCTAGACGTGTTGACAAACGTACGAACTCAACCCTTAGGTGTCCGCACCACCGGCGATGATCCTCAAGAGGTGTCACAATATGGCGTGGAGTTCATGAAAGGTTATCAGAAAGCTGGCTTGGTGACATGTGGCAAGCATTTCCCCTCATATGGTAACTTGGAGTTTCTCGGATCTCAGGCGGACGTACCTATCATTACTGAATCACTCGAGCAGCTCAGTCTGACCGCATTGGTACCTTTTCGAAATGCCATTGTTCACGGTTTGGACTCCATGATGGTTGGGGGTGTTTCGATGTCCTCTGCTGGAGTCAATGTCATGCATGCCTGCCTGAGTGAGCAGGTGGTTGATGATCTTCTACGGAAGGATTTGAAATTCGAAGGCGTAGTCGTCTCAGAGTGTCTAGAAATGGAGGCACTTACACATAATATCGGTGTCGGCGGCGGTACAGTGATGGCAAAAAATGCAGGTTGTGATATCATACTCCTCTGTCGGTCATTCCAGGTACAACAAGAGGCCATCAACGGCTTAAAACTCGGGGTTGAAAATGGCATCATCAGTCGAACGCGCATAGAACAATCATTACGCCGAGTCCTCACCCTAAAATCGAGATGTACATCTTGGGAGCAGGCCCTCAATCCTCCCGGTCTTCCTTCTCTCTCGCAGATGCAACCATCTCATACCAGCCTATCCAAGAGAGCCTACAACAGTTCTATTTCAGTTGTACGGGATAAGAAAATCCTTTTACCCCTCTCCAACATTATTGAACCAAGCGAAGAGTTGCTCCTTTTGACCCCGTTGGTAAAACCGCTACCTGCCTCCGCCGTGTCTCGTTCTATGACTGAGCATTCGAGCGTGTCCCTCGACCCAATCGCGTGGGATAGGACGGCTTCAGTACTCAGCGGTGAAAGTGTGTTCAAGGAACTCGGGAGGTCGCTGTCGCGGCAAAGAAGCGG